CCATCTAGTTACTTAAATCTTCCTATGGTGGAATTCAGAGATTTAATCAACGCCAGTGGTTTTATAGATATGCGCTATGTTGGGCCCACATTTACTTGGACTAATGGTTCATCTTGGGCTCAACTAGACCGTATTTTCGCCATCCAAGCATGGTTGGATCAATTTGAGAATCTAACAGTGGAACATCTGAACCGATCTTATTCAGACCACTCTCCTCTACTAGTGACTATCAAACACAATATGATTCATGGTTCGAAGCCTTTTCGTTTCCAATATATGTGGATCTCGCACCCTGAATTTCATAATTCAGTTAAAAATTCTTGGAATCAACCCATCGAGGGGAATGATCTATTTATCCTCTCCTCTAAACTGAAGCGTTTGAAGCAATGCTTAAGAGACTAGAATCGGGAAACTTCAGGAGATGTGTTAAATGCAAAGAATATTGTTTTCGAAGCTGAGAGTATGATCCTCATCAACAACTATGAGAACCAGCAGAATCTTCTCAATGCCAAGAATAACCTGGAACAAGTTTTATTACAAGAAGAAATCTTTGTCAAACAAAAATCTAAAGAAAAATGGCTTCGTGAGGTTGACAAAAATTCCCTTTTCTTCCACATTTCTATTAAAGTTGCGAGAAACAAGTATGCTTTTAAGGAGATTAGACATCAATGGTACTATGACTGATGACATGAATCTCATAAGAACCCAAGTAGTAAGCTATTTCAAAAACTTGCTTTTTGAGGAGATAGTCTTGAACCATGACTACTCGCTTTAGTCTATTCCTCATTTAATCACAAAAGAGGATAATAATAGTTTCACTCGAAGTCCCAAATTCTGATGAAATCAATCAAGTTGTCTTCTCAATCAATGTGGATTCAACTTCAGGTACGGATGGTTTCGATGGTTTTTTCTTCACTCACTGCTAGGACATAGTTGGAGATGATGTTTGCAGAGCCATAAAATCTATCTTCATCACTAAATAATCTCTATGGGTTTTGTTATAAGATTTTTGAAAAATTACTATCAGAAATGTTGAAACCATTACTGCCTCGTATCATATCTCCAGAACAAGGGCCCTTTATGGAAGGCCATTTCATAGGGGAGAACATTTTCATTGTCCAAGAGATGGTCAGTAAAATTATCAGATGTTCTAGGGGAGGAAATACAGTTCTTAAACTGGACATGCTAAAGCCTATGATAGGCTTAACTGAAATTTCCTATTCTAAACTCTTCGAAAGTTTGGCTTCAATAATTCTGGGATTTAGTTAATTAAACTTGGACTTTGAAACTGTTGGTTCTCTATCTTGATCAATGGTTCCCAGATGGGCTACTTTAAATCTTCAAGAGGATTGTGCCAAGGTGATCCCCTTTCTCCTAATTGGTTTATAATTGTTGAAGAGGTTTTAAGTAGAGGGCTTAACAAAATCTTTCACAACGATTATGTAGAGTTTTTTAAAATACCAAGAGATACTTTTCAAATCTCTTATAGCCTCTTTGCAAACGACACAATAGTTTTTGTAAAAGGTCTCAAAAGAAGCCTGAAAAAATCTTATGGAATTCTTCAAAGTTTACGAAGAAGCTTCAGGACAACTAATCAACAAGCATAAGTCGTCCTTTATCACTTTTGATAAAATTTCGAGGCAAAGAATTGAGATGATTGCCAAAGTGATTGGTTTTTCAAGGAAATCTCTCCCTTTTATGTATTTAGGAGCCCCAATAGGAAGAAAAAAAATTAAGAATAAGGGAATTTGATCCTCTAATTGGAAAAATAAGAAAGCGTCTAGAAGGGTGAAAACCAAATTATTAACACCTAGTGACAAGTTTATTCTTATTCGAAATGTGCTTCAAAGCATGATTGTTCATGTTCTTAGTAGTACAACTATCCGTAAGAAAGTAATTCATAGTATTCATAAAACTTTTGCTCAATTCTTGTGGGGAAATTTTGAGTATGGACCAAAGCACCATTGGATAAATTGGGAAAGAGTTTACAAACCTATGGAGGAGTGAGAACATCCAAGAAATTGCTATAAACTCTGATGTTGTAATTTCGGAAGCAAATGACAAGCTAGTATGAACCTATACAAATGATGAAAATTTCATAGTTGGGTATGCTTGGAATCTCATCCATTTACAAGGCACTCAAGTAAATTTGTCAATATATGTTTGGAATTCTGGTATCCCCAATAAGATTTCGATATTTATATGGCGCTTTCTCAATAAAGCAATCCCAATGGACATGGCTATCAAACAAAAAGGGATAATTTTAGCCTCTAAATGTGGGTGTTGTAGGGATGCCAAGGAAGAATCTTTTGATTAGTCGAGCACTTACAACAATAACTCCCCACCCAAAATGTTGGAAGTTATATGTAGAAAAAATTGGCATTCCAATCCACCCCATCCAACACATTAGAGACCACATTTTAGATTGGCGGAGCACCTACAACAATAACTCCCATTGTAGCCAGGTTCTTAGGGCGTTGCCTTCGGTTCTACTATGAAAAGTTTGGGTGGAAAGGTGTACAAGAGTCTGATGGCAAGTTTATTCCTGCAAGCCAAGTAATCCAATGCATCATAAATTGGCTTGTTGAAATTGGTAAAGTTACTTCATTTCCCACTTTCGAGGATGCAAATGATTGGTGGAGGATTGATTTTCCAATTCTGCCCAAGCCCACCAAATCAAAGTTGTATAAATGGGTAATATGGCAAGTTCTTTCACATGGTAAGGTAAAACTAAATACTAATGGTGTTTGTCGAGGAAACCCAAGTGTAGGAAGTGAGGGAGGCTTGATTCATGATGACGAGGGCAGGTTTCTTAAAGCTTGTTCAAGTCCTTGTGGTATTTGCACCTCTCTTCAAGTGAAAATTAAAGCTCTTCAGGATGGAATTAATGTGTATTCAACAAGGTTATCTTCAATTCAGTCTCTATTCCATGGAGTATCCATTACTGTATAGTTGAAATCAAAAGGCTCCTTAACTCTTGCAATTACTCAATAAAGGATGTGTACTGTGAAGCTAATTGACCAACAGACTATTTGGCTAAAGTAGGTGGGAACCGTGGGATGTTGGAAGAATTCAATAGCTTCAATGATCTCTGACATATCCCAGATCAGGTAAGAAAAGTAATATTTGAAGATTTTATATGTTTATCCAATCTAAGAGTTAGATAATCTATTTAAGGATTTTAGTGTCGGCTGGGCTGAGGGTAAGGTTGAGAGATTTGTATCTTGGGCTTGAGGCAAGGTAGGCTAAGTCCTCCCCTGTAATAGCTGTTTTTATTTTTGATAATGGTTAATAAAATTTAAGGTGACCACCCCTCTATCTGGAGTATATTTTAGGGTTAAAAAAACATATTTCAGTATTTGAAATGCAAGCACATATTGATTTGTTATTGGAGCTGTGATGCTTTTGCTTGTTAGATCTATGATATGGATACATGTATTTTCATGTATTAACGGATATAGATCCAAAAGTTATAAAAGAGACTCGTGTCAATGAGTTTTATTATCCAAAACTCATCTTCTATTAAGATTTCGGTTAGATCACTATTAACGACCATTAATAGAAATTGTCCACATAAACATTTAAGTAACTACCCCTGAATGGCCAATCAAGTTTATTAAACATGTTTATGACAAAATTATCCCTGACCCGGGTCCAGGCCCACTCTAGGCCTACAAATTTTAGAGTGGGTCTTGGGCCTAATATTTCAATCCAACCTAGGCCTGACCCAAACCATATATATATCAGGGTTAATATTATAATAAAAATATTTAAAAAGGTTGATTAGCCATTTTAGGGGTAGTTTGGTCATGTAAAATACTTAAATGCTTGACTTAATGAAAATCTAATGGAAAGTGAGTTTTGAACAATAAAATTCATTACCAAGAGCTCTCTAGAGGTTTTGAAAAGTCATGGTGAGTTCAAGAGAAATGTGACAATCATGATGAGTTTTAGATAATATCCCTTAATTTTAAATGATATCAAATGCATTTATCAAATGGTTGGAGAGATCTATAAGATAGAACTAAGAATGATATCAAATGCATTTATCAATCAACAATTTATGCCAGAAAATTAATTTTTAATTATTGGTATTTACAGAATTAAAAATAAAATAATTGTTTAATTATTTTAGTAATTTAAATTTATGAATTTCTTGTGGCTTCCAAATGCTAATGGCTCTTCTATATTTTATAAATTAAGATTATTTATTATTAAAACCAAAGTATATTATTTACAAAACTTACTTTACATATAACAAGTAACTATCATATCAAGAATTGTGTCTTTGACCCTTAGATCCATGGATCTACATTTTCAAAGATCTAATGTATTTTAGAGATTAATTACATATTTTATAGTTATTAATTTATAATTTAACTTAAATAAATATAACACATTAATGGTATTCATACCTAGGAGTGCTCACAGTTCAGTTAATCAAACGATGAAAAATCATGAACCAAAACCAAACCGAAACCAATCACTTAACTGGATTGGCAGTTTGGTTTTCTACTGGTTCGGTTCTTTTGTTTTTCATTGTTTTGTTATTTATAATATATATTATAAATAATATACATACTAGAATATATGTATCGGAGTTAACCAAATTGTAGCATATGCTTCTTTCAACCTTGGATTTAGTGGTATTATCATGTATGTCGGATTAATGAGAATTTTCTTAGTGTTACAACGTGTTCAGATTTTTGCCTCATATCCATGCAGCCCAAAGCATATCACAATACGTATATCCTTTTCCAACCTTAGAGATATACATACCAATATTTTGAACCTTGCGTAAAAGTTGTATAAATCGGTCACCTTCAACCCAATCTAGACCTTGGTAGCATGTCTTCCCTAAGATAAAGATCATCCAAGCACCTGTTTCTCATGATTTAAATTCATTAGTTAGCATTTAGCAAACTATCAAAATGCACCAACTTGTATAAGGCAACTGCAGTATTCCATCCCTTGAGTCCCTGTACCGTACAAATTTTGGATCAGTGAATTGGTAACTCCAAAGTAAGATATGGAGATATAAACTACATCACATGCTCCCACTTCCTTGGAGCAAGTCTACTACCTTCAGTTGGAATATGAACATGACACCTGACGATAGCTAAAAGGCTAAAACAGAATTTCAAAATCTGTTTAAGCTAAACCATAAGACATCCAAGTGGGAGATCTATGCATCATTTCTGCAGTGGCTCCTCTCTCTTAGATCTGCTAGAACGATGAAGAGGAGATTCACTTCTCAATCTCTTCCTAGAGGCATTACCTTTTCTACCCACAACGCTATGTCCAATCTCCGCAACCTCTTTGCTCTCATACTTTTTCCTCCGGTCTCTACCCCTTCTGCTAACTCTATATTTCTTCTCATGTTCAGCATTGTCGGAATTATCCCCAAATTCTTCAGGGGTGGAGTGACTGTTATTTGAATTATTTGGCACAGAGTAGTAAGCTTCATCTTGTTGGCATGACTTTCCCTCAGACTTATTGAAGGATGAACACTCATCATCAGACCCCTGCTTCTGGTATTTATATACCTTGTCACGCTCATGAGTGTGAGATCTATGTTTCTCTTTCTGCCTACTGTTTGAGTGTCTGTCATGGGCAGATTGCCTACTGCATCTGGACCTTTTTTCATGATATCTCCAACCAGAGTTTTGACCATGGGATTTGTATTTCCAATTATACCTTTGTTGATCATCATCAATCCTCCTGGATTTATCATGCTCCTCATGGAAACTTTCTGTTTCCCAACTACCACATTTGTCCATGCTATCATCAGTGTGGTGATCAGAATCATGATCATGTGATGTATGTCTACCATCATACCGACTAGTAATATAAGCTTCACCACATTCTTCTGATTTCATATCCTCATCAAGAGAATCGCTCTCCTTTATCTGTGTACTTGAGCCCTCTCTTCTGCTTGAGTGACTGTGCTTTCGGGCTCTATGTAAATCTGAATATTTTCTACTGGAATCATGATATTGTAATCCATCTTTCATGTCAGTTCTTCTGTGACCATTGGGATGATCCATCCCCTTTCTCTGGAGATACTCTCTTGAATAACTACTATTTCGTTCTCTGTCATCCCTATCAGAGTAATCCTCACTCGAATCAGAATCATGACTGATCCTGCCATCATATCTATCATCTTCAGAGAAATTCTCTTCAGATTGTCGCATCCTATCATGAGAACTTCTCTCCTTCCTACCAATAATTAAGTGTCTGTTCCTCTTCAAATGGCTACTTTGTTGGTGGTCATCATTTTCCTTGGCATGGTCTCTACTAGAACCAGCATCCGACCAATCTACATCTTTAGATCTAGACCTTGTTGAGCGGCTTCTTGAGTAATACCTGCCCAAGTAAATCAAGAAATAACTGATGGGAAACAATTAAAAATATTTTGCAAGAAGATCAGACCTCAGTGAACACCACCTTAGGAACACTATAAATTACAAAATCTGTTGATGAAAACCACCTTAGAAGGGATAAATTACAAAATCTGACTCTTGAAAAGGAACATTATAAAACTTTATTTTCTATATTAATGTTATTATTTTTAGTAACCTGTACTTTGGGCCTACTGACACTTTGGTCCCCGAACTTTAAAACGTGACAATTCAGTACCCGAACTTTCAAAATGTGTCAATTCTGTACCTACCATTACCCAGCCATTAAGTGGCATTTGAAAAGACACAAATGCCCTTTGAGTGTCATCTAATTTTCTTTATCAACCATCCAAACGTTGACAAAAAATGAATAGTCCCAAATCCTTGCCTCATCTATTCAAGAAAGTTGGGGTCACCAGAATGCCCACTAGGACATGACCCCAACTTTCTTGAGAGAAGATGCAAAGATTTTGAGACTGTTCATTTTTTGTCAACGTTTGGATGGTTGATAAAGAGAATTAGATGACACTCGAAAGGCATTTGTATCTTTTCAAATGCCACTTAACGGCTGCTTAACAATTGGTTAACGGCAGGTACTGGACTGGCACGTTTTGAAAGTTCGGGTACTGAATTGTCGCACTTTAAAGTTCGGGGACCAAAGTTGCACTAGACCCAAAGTACAAGGTACTAATCGGGAATTTTCTATATTAGTGTTGTTATTTTTAAATGAGAGTTACAAGACTAGACGGGATAAAAGTGCAACAGGATAAGTGTATCTATGAGAGTTAGGAAGCCAGTACAGCAGACAAGATGATAAGAACTCATAATGGTCCAATTTGGGTATTGACCAAATACTACACCAGCAAAAGAAAGCTACATTTTTGCAAATCAAATACCTCACCAAGGGCAAGGTGGGGAGAACAGGTGGATTGAAAAAGTGAGGAAAATTATTTACGCAGCTTTTCAGGAGCTTGTTCAAGTTTTAAGCATATGCAAGTTATTCAGGTAATCTGGTCTTCCAAATGAAACATCAGGTGGGTTTGGAGGGAAAGGAAGAAAGCAAGAGAATCTTTTTAGGCTAAACTAAAATCCATTTACACTATACAGGGGCATATGTTTTAATATTTAGGGATGGGTGCTACTATTGCAAGCATAACAAGTATATGAAGAGAATTAATGGTAAAAGGCAATAGAACGAGATTGTAAGACATTTACTTCATCGGACATACATTTTCAACCATTCAAAAGGTTAAACATACAAATACTTTTAGGGTGTTCTTATCAATTAAGATTTTTTTAGAATGAGATATTTTTATATTTATCACCCCAAATTTAAGGATTTTAGTGCCCCTACTGGTGAAGCAGATGCTATCAATACCCAAGTGATGACTCGCCTTGCAGGGACATGCATAACTAAACAATTCCAGATCTCTTTTCTTTGCATTGAAGGGGATTTGACAATTGCAATCAACTGAAGCCAAAGATTTGGGTGCAACCATTGACATTTGGCCATCTACTTTGATGAGATTAGGGAGACCTACAGTGTCATTATAGTTCAAATGAAATGGACGCCTAAGAAGTTTATTTGGCACTAGATTAATTGCAACATCATGGTTGAGAGGAGTGTTTTATATGCAAACAGCTCATTGCACAACCTCTTATGTACTAATGTAATCCCTCTAGCATACATTTGTAATGTAACACAATGTACTTACCTTTTCAAGATAAAATAAAGGGATTATAGCTGATAAGGGCAACTTTTGGGTTTTATTATCAATAAAAATAATTTTTTTAACATAACTTCTAGAATAAAGTAATTTTTAAAAAAATATATCAAAAAAAGGTAAAAACACTGTTCATCTCCTTCTTCCTTCAGATAACTGCTTCCGATTCTGGAGAGATCACGACTAATTTTCCTCCTTTCTTTTGTTTCTCCCCATCGCTTATTCTCCACAGTCACGAACCAGAACCAAACCAGATCAGCCCACCGTCCCCTTCTCTTATTTTCCTCCTTCCCCTTCTTCCCCCCTCTTTTCCTCCCCTTTTCTTCTTTGTTCGTCTTCTTCTTCCCCTTTTCTCCCCTGTTTCCACAACTGAATCAGAGGCCTTCTCTTCCCCCTTTTTTAATCAAATATATTTTATTTATCAAGGGCCAGACCTAGAGAAGGCCTTCTCTGAATCAGATCTATTTCTCCCATATTCGGTCACCAGACCTAGAGTTTTTGTGTAAAACTCTAATGAATTCAGTTGACACACCATCTTTCTCCATCATAGGAACACCCAGGGCACCACCGAATCAGTTGCAGCACCGAACATTACAGTGAAGACCACATCGATGAAGGTCGAGACCTCCCTCATTTAAAATCCTTTCCTATTTTTGTTAGGTGTGGATAAATAGCGAGAAACGCAAGAAATTTATTGGAAAACAAAACTCTCTCGTTAATCGTGAAAACCCGAAGTGTGTTATGGACGGTTGATTTTCAAGAAAAAAAAGGGATTATAGCTGAAGGAAGAAGGAGATGAACAGTATTTTTACCCTTTTTTCATATTTTTTAAAAAAGTTACTTTATTCTAGAAATTATGTAAAAAATATTACTTTTATTGATAATAAGACCCAAAAGTTGCCCTTATCAGCTATAATCCCTAAAATTAGTGACAAATTTCAAAATCAAACCATAGACACCATAAAGTATTTAATATGATGCTTGAATAACAAGCATACCTGTCCCAATTTGCTGTTATCTTATTGCTGGACCTCTTCAGTTGCCCCCCAGTTTCTGGCTCCATGTCTTTGCCATTTATCAATTCATCTGAAGGACCAAATAAAGCAGCCATCTTTTTGACCCAGTACTTAGGAGGTGGGTTATCCCAATCAGCCCATTCATAGTCTCCACCAGGATTTCGAAAGCAGTGGATAAAGTTGCAGGCTGTACCATGTGAGCATGTCTGTCAAAAAGGGAAAGGAGGATCATCATCATCATGTAGAAGGGTGAGAAATCAAACGAAGAAAACGGTATTAATATAGTAAAGAAGACAATTAGGAAAATCCCCTAATCTTGAGTTCCCATGTGAATAGAAGAGGCATGGCAGAAAACATAAAAATACTTGTATGAGAATGAGTACTAACTATTAGAGGGATTAAATAAAAGAAAAAAGATTGGTTTTACCCTGAGCCTAGACTTCATGTACTCCCCACATATTGCAACCTTCCATCTGGTCACACCAACAAACTCACATGTTATCTGTCAATAATCAGCACAAAAGTCACAATCAGTATATAAAATTCTAAAACTGAATACAGAGCAAGAAAACTTTGAAAGACCAACAGGCGACACATTAAAAATGGATAATAGTAACAAGAAATAGAAAAGACTTTTCAAGGAAATATTCCACATCAGGTTAGGGAGAAGAAGGCAGAAAAGCAAAATTAAAAATGCATGTGATGGACACTTATATAGCTCTCATTTTCTGGTCAATAAGTGATGTGATACACAGGAGGCAATATTTGAAATCATTTGTTTAGGCCTCAATTAAAAATTGAAGAAAAAATATCAGGTCAGTCACTCAATATGCAGCTAAAATTTGTGTTTTACTTGATTCTTGTGTCATTAGATGGGTTATTCAATTGCTTATCCAACAAGACCAAGATTATGCAATTTTGACATCAATTGAGCAATATGGCCAATTTACAAAGAGCCAATGACTTCATATTTTTTATTGGTAAGATTTTTGGAAATCATAATTGTAAGTTTGAGGATTTACCTTAGTAGATATTTGTTTTAGAAGTAGCTTCCTTATTAATAAGTTGTGCTAAACTTATAAATTAATTGGTCAAAATGTCAATATTTTAGAAGATTGTCAAGGAGTTTTAGTCGGCTTTTTATGTCATTAAAACTAAAGGTATAAGTTGGAGATTGATTAGTGAAATGGTAATATCCATGATATTGATATAAAGAGAATGGCAAGATTCAGATGCCTTTTGATTTCTTCTCTTTGGGTTAGATGCTAAAAAAACTTATTTTTTGTTTGACGAAATTGAAGGCCTTGTATTTGAAGTGATTCCTTACTTGATTCCAGAACAAAGGTGTACCTCCCCATCCCCAGGCCATCGTACATGGTCAACCATCTCATAGGAATAATGATTATGGTTGTTATAAGGAAATATTTTTTTAAACCATGTATTCTACTTGCCTCAATGTACATGTCTACATAAAGATTGCCACCATTTTTTCTGTTTTGTTCTCTGCTGAGGTGCCCTTCAGTTAGGTCCAGAGTCGTCTGAGAACGTGACAGCCATATCAGGGGCTTTGTAACCAAAGATTGCCACCATCTCCATGAAGTTTAAGTAGGAAGAGGATGATTATATGTGGGTGCTCACAAATGTATACAGACCAAATGACTACAGAGAGAGAAAGGAGTTGTGGGAGGAATTGGCTAATGTTAGAGGGTTATGGGATGGGCCCTGGTGCACGGGTGGGGATTTCAATGTGATCAGATTCTCGGAGGAATCCAATAAAGTTAATCAGAGGGTGACAAAAAGCATGAGGAAGTTTAACAGTTTTGTGGATGCCTTTGAGCTTAAACAGATTCCCCTAGCCCATAAGACATTTACATGGTCAAATCTCCAAGCTAGACTCATTTGCTCTAAGTTGGATAGATTCCTGTTCTCTTTGGATTGGGAAGAACATTGGGGAACTTAGGCTTCTAGAGCTCTCCCAAGGGTGACATCGGATCATTGGCCCATAGTGTTATGTAAGGAGGAAAGAAGGTGTGGAGGTCCTACCCCCTTTAGATTTGAAAATATGTGGTTACTTCATCCAGGGTTTACTACCAAAGTGAGGGAGTGGTGGTATGAGTATAACCCATTGGTGGAAGGGGAGGGGATGAGATTCCATAAGAAACTACAATTCTTGAAAGCAAAAATTAAGAAGTAGAATTTGGTGGAGTTTGGGAGGATAGAAGAAAGAAAGGGAGCTCTGATGGATAAAATTGAAAGCCTTGACTCTAAAGAAGAAATGGGAGAATTTGGAGAGGAAGACAATGAACTCAAGAGAGATTTGAGAAGACAATTAGAGGATTGCCTGCACAAGAAGGAAATTAGCTGGAGACAAAAATCTCAGTGTAAATGGTTGCAAGAGGGAGACAGGAACACAAGGTATTTCCACTCTTTGGCAGATGGCAGGAGAAAGAAGAACTTTATCTCCAAATTGGTACTAGATGGAGTTGAGTTAATACAACAAGAGGAGATAGTCGAGGCCTGTGTGGAGCACTTCAAATCTATTCTAAGAAGGCCTGTGAGTAGAAGGGTGTGGGTAGAAGGATTGRATTGGCCAGATGTAGGGGTGGAGAACAGGAGAAGGTTGGAAAGAAGCTTTAATTTGGAAGACATCAAGGAGGTTGTGTTTTCTATGGATAGAACAAAAGCTCTAGCGCTGGATGGGTTCACAATGCCTTTTTATCAGGACTGTTGGGATATTTTGAAAGATGATCTTTTGCGAGTGTTTGAGGAATTTTTGAAAAGAAGAATTGTCAATCCGGGTGTGAACTCTACATTTATAGCCTTAATTCCAAAAAAGAAAGATGCATCCTACCCGAAGGATTTTAGGCCAATTAGCTTGATTAATAGCTTGCATAAGATCATTGCAAAAGTGTTGTCTTTGAGGCTGAAGGAGGTATTGCCAGATATCATTGCACATTATCAAGGAGCTTTTGTGAGTGGAAGACAAATTACTGATCAGATTTTAATTGATAATGAGAGTGTGGAGAACTTTAAGAGGGATAAGAAGAAGGGAGTGGTCTGTAAGTTGGACTTGGAAAAGGCTTATGACTTGGTGGACTGGGATTTTTTGAGGAAAGTTGACTAAATTTGGGTTTGGGGCTAGATGGTGTAAGTGGATCACGGGTTGTGTCCGGAATTGCCATTATTTAGTGCAAGTGAATGGGACAGTGGTAGATTTCTTTCCAGCCAGTAGGGGTATAAGACAAGGAAACCCTCTCTCCTTTCTTGTTCATTCTAATTGCAGAGGTTTTGGGAAAACTAATTCACATAGCAGATTCTAGGGGGCTCATTAGAGGCTGGACAGTTGGGAGGGTGGAAACCCCCCTCACTCATTTACAGTTTGTTGATGACACGATTCTGTTTTGTGAAGGCGGTAATGTGAGCTTTATCAGGAACTTGAAGTCGGTGATACGACTATTTGAGAAAATGTCCAACTTGAAGGTTAACCTTGGGAAAAGCTGTGTAGTGGGGGTGAATATGGAGGAGGGAGAGATTAGGGAGAGTGTTGAAGAGCTGGGGTGTGAAGTCTCGGGGTGTCCTTTGAACTACTTAGGGTTGCCATTAGGTGATAATCCTATGAGAGAGAGCTTTTGGAACCCGGTGGTGGAAAGGTTTGAAAAAAGACTGGTATCCTGGAAAAAGAACTACCTCTCTCTTGGTGGGAGAATTACACTAATTAAGGCCACGCTTGCTAACTTACCCATCTTTTTGTGGGAGAATTACACTAAAAAGACTACCTCTCTCTTGGTGGGAGAACTACACTAGAAAGACTGGTATCCTGGAAAAAGAACTACCTCTCTCTTGGTGGGAGAATTACACTAAAAAGACTGGTATCCTGGAAAAAGAACTACCTCTCTCTCGGTGTTTAAAATCCCAGTGAAGGTTTCTAACAGATTGGAGAAGCTAATGAGAGATTTCCTGTGGGAGCCGGGAGAAGAGAAAGGGATCATAGAGTTAGCTGGGAGATAGTGTGTAGGAGTAAGACTTGTGGTGGTTTGGGGCTTGGGAATATTAGGAGAAGGAATATGACTCTTTTGGGAAAGTCATTGTGGAGGTTCCCTATGGAGAAGGAGAAGCCTTGGGCTAGAATAGTGGCAAGTATACATGGGCTGGAGCACAATGGATGGAATGATGGAATCAGAGCTAGGATCACAAGCAATTCTCCTTGGAAAGCCATTCATGACCTGCTACCAGTTTTCTCCCCTAATATCAGGTATGATGTGAATTCCAGTAACTCCATAAAAATTTTGGAACAAACCTGGGTGGGGAGTGCCCCTCTAAAGGATTAGTTTCCTTCTTTGTATGCTATTTCTGATTTGAAAAATGAGCCAATCTCATCTTTCACCACCCCGTCCTCTTCCACTTCTGGGATTGGGTGGAACATGGGTCTAAGAAGGGATTTGAGGGACTTAGACTTCGACAGTATTTCGAGCCTTATTGCACTTCTTGATAACGTTGTCTTAGACCCCACTAGAGCGGATTCTAGAATTTGGACACCTACCCCCAATGGCATCTTTTCTTGTGCTTCTTTCTTCAAAGTCTTAAGTCAGTCCACCAGTCCTACTTCCCCCCCTTTCCCTGTTGATGAGGTTTGGTGCAGAGCAATACCTCCTAGGGTTGGTAGTTTTTGTTGGGAAGCAACACTGGTGATCTACTCCAAAAGAAGAGACCCAATACTTGCTTGTCACCTCATTGGTGTGTTGTTTGTAAAGCGGATGGGGAGACTGGTTTTCACCTACTGGTGTCTTGCCATTTTGCGAGGTCAATTTGGAATTGGGCTTTCTCCCTATTTGGATGTAGCTGGAATCCTCCATCAGACTTGCAGGGCCTTTTTTCCCC